TGAGCAGCTAAGTACACTCAACTATCTACATGGAAGAGAACATGCCTGGCTTTCACAGTACCAGCTTGGGCACAGTGACTGCATTTTTGGAAGCAAGCAACTGTGGCTGAGAAAACACCTGTGCATGACATGATAGAAGGTTGGGGAAAATTGTCTGATGTAAAAAATAAAATAAAAGCCTTATTATTAATAGCTGAAATATCTTGAACAAATTATTGCTATTTTATGTTTCTTTTTTTTTACTATAAGGTGGTATAATATTTATCTCATGGGTTATGAAGTTCAAATAGATATGTATTTTAAACTTTTTAAAACAATGTTTGTTATATATAATGACTACCCAAATGCTCACTAAAATTATTGAAGTGTATAATAGAATACTTGACACGATTCTGAAACACTAAGCCTAAATAGGATGCCTTCATCAAACCCCTCCCCTCAGGGCTCATGGAACTATGCAGAGTGGGGGCTGAAAGATTGTAAGAGCCAAAGGTGATAAATGTTTCCTGCCTGCCGGTACCCGAATAACCAGTGAGAGGATTAATATTAATTACAAACTGTTTGGCCTATGGCTCAGGCTTATTGCTAGCTAGCTCTTACATCTTAAATTAACTCATTTCTATTAATTAATATTTTGCCATGTAACCATGGCATTACTGGTCTGCTGGCTGGCATCTTGCTCCTTGGGTAGCTGGATGGCATCTCCTCTGACACTGCCTTTCTTCTTCCTGTATCTCTCTTGGATTTCCCACATAGCTGTCTCCTGTCTTGCCATAGGTCAAAGCAGCTTCTTTGTTAACCAAAGGTAACAACACATATTCACAGCATACAGAAAGACTATCCCCAAGCAGATGACTATGGTGATATTTTATTTGTGATGAAATGTGATTTTATTTTGCCTGGGGGTTAGAGCTAATAACAAGCCATTTAGCAGAAGTCTGGCAGTGGTAGCACATGCCCTTAATCCTGATCACATGACAGGCAGATCTCTGTGTGTTCAAGGACACCACTGGCATGGAGACACATGCCTTTAATCTCAATACCAACCATAGAAGACCTGGAGGTCTGTATAGACAGGCAGTGATGAGGAGGTCATGTGGTTGAGTTTACAACCAATGAGAAGGCAGAACAGAAAGTCAATAAAAAGACAGACACACAGGAAGTAGGTCTCTTTCTGAGGGGAAGGATGGCAGCGGCAGCAAGGTGGTAAGAAGGTGGTCTCAGCTTTTGGCTACTGCTCTCTGACCTCTGGGGCTTTTAACTCTGCATTTGGCTCTGTGTTTCTTATTTAATAAAACCATTTAGAATTACATCTACATTTGGTGCCCACATGGCAAGAATTCATTAAAACTCACTCAGCTCAGCTTGGCTCAGCTCGGCTTGGCTCGGCAGCCCACTGGCTCCCTGGCTCCCTGGCTTGGGCCAGCTCGGCCTAGGCCCTAGGCCTGACCGACCATAGCTACAAGTGGTTTCCTGCAGCTGGAGCTATTTGCAGTCAGATTGCCAACTCAAGCAGCTCAGGCTAAAAAAAAAAAGTCGGTGCTACGAACAACTCAGGACCTGACGGAGCCACCGGTCCGGCTGCACTCGACTGCAGTTGCAGCAGCTCACACGGTCGGAGCTTAAGGAAGCCCAGGCTCAACTCGGCTCAAGCAGGAACACGTGGCTACGCTTTCTCTCTCTCTCTCTCTCTCTCTCTCTCTCTCTCTCTCTTTCTCTCTCTCTCTGTGGATTCCTACCTCAGACATTAGGTAGCTGTTTTGAAATTCCCTCTGATTTCTACTGTTCTACTCAGACTTGGTAAGTCAATTAAGATATCAGATATTTTAAAGGAAAAAACTATTTAAAAGAGAAAAAAATTTTCCACATTAAAAAAATGGGTATTATGTGTACATTAGAAGAAAACTGGACTTTGTTTGATAAAATTTTAGGCAGTCTAAAAATGGAACAACTATATGAGAAGATTAATGTTGATGGGATGTACATTACACCAATTATGCACATTATTACTTTCCTTATCCTTATTTTACTATTTAAAAAGATAGTCAATTTAAGTGCCAGGATAAAAGCTTTAGAAATACCTGTTAAAATGAATTATAGAGAAATTCAGATTCAGACAGAAGAATTTAATGGTGAAATTATTTCAGGATTGGATTATAAGGTTACAGAAAGAAAGCCTGTTTTCACACAATCACCCTTAATTTATCCAGTAACCGTACAGCAGCTACCTGGTCAAGTGAATGCGCAAAATATTTGGACTCCAATTGAAATGTTAAATTTAAGATGGTTTAAGGAGGCAATAGTATCTTATGGCATGCATTCCCCATTTGTAAAGCAAATGCTAAACTCCTGGTCAACTTATAATAAGATTATACCACAGGATTGGCAAGAACTGGTAAATGCTGTCCTGGAACCTGGGGCACAGCTTCAGTGGCGTATGTGGTTCAAAGATGAAGCTAAAAACATAGAAAGTCAGTGGAGGGCTAGAGATGTGCAAATCTCCCAGGCTCAGCTTGTTGGAGAAGGCCAATAGGCTGAAATACAAAGACAATGTTTATATGATAACCAAACCCTAATTCTATGTCGAATGGCAACCTTGAATGCATGGGACAGAATTGAGGAAACAGGAAAGAAAACTGAGCCATTCACAGAAATTATACAGGGCCCAAAAGAATCCTTCACAGATTTCTTACAAAGACTGACTTCAGCAGTAAATAGAATGGTCCCGAATTCAGAAGTTAGCCAGATAATAATCAAATTTTTGGCCTTTGAGAATGTGAAAGCATTATGCAAGAGAATAATCCGGCAATTAAAGGCAAGATCTGCACCCTTGGAAGATTGGATTAGAGACATGTTTAATGTTGAATCTCATGACCAAGATGATATGTGAATAGGAGAAGCAATTTCAAGAGGTTTGAGGAATGTCAGATGTTTTGGACGTGGAAAGCAAAGACATTTGAAAGGGACTGTAAACAGGGCATTCCTAGAAACAATGTTTCTTCAAGGAACAATGACAACATAATGCCTCTTCTTTCTGGAGTATGCAGAAGGTGTGGTAGGGAAAATATTGGACCAATGACTGTAGATCAACAAGGGACAGACAAGGTAATACTTTGCCTTGGTCAGGAAACTCCAAGAGGGGCCTCAGGCAGGCCCCCACAGCAAGTCCAGTTCAGACCTTTCCTTCAGTCATAGAAGAAACCCCTACTCAGAGCAATTAAATAACCAAATGCCTATTGGAATAAACCAGGCTGCTCAGGGTGATGGAACAGTTGAGACAGAGAGAACACAAAATTCAGGAGAAACCATAAAGAAAATTTTTTGACAAACTTCTATAAATGAACAAAGACCAAAATTAACAATAAGAATAAATAATATTTTGTTGTTTGGTCTGGTCGACACAGGTGCTGACATGACCATAATTGCACCTGAATTTTGGCATCCAACTTGGCCTCTTCAGGAGGTAAACGTTCAACTGTTAGGAATTGGAACATTATCTCAAGTGAAACAGAGTGCAAGATGGCTCAAATGTATAGGTCCAGAAGGACAGAGAAGAAAATTAAAACCATATGTGGCTAACATACCTATGAACTTGTGGGATCGAGACCTGTTACAACAATGGAATACTCAGATTAACATCTCTCCAACCTCCCTCAGAAACAAATCATAAACTAGCACATGTTTCTGAGAGAAATATTAGAAGGTATTATTCTAATGAGTGGTCACCAGCCATCCAGATTACACAAGAATGGGACACAACAACTGATGATCTTCCAAAGACACCAACAGCTCTAGAATGGGACACAACAACTGATGATCTTCCAAAGACACCAACAGCTCTACCTTTAAAATGTTAACAGACAAGCCTGTATGGATCCAGCAATGGCCTTTAACAACAGAGAAACTCCAGGCTTTAGAAGAGCTGGTAGAAGAGCAGTTAAATGTTCAGCACATTGAAGAATCAACTAGCCCTTGGAATTCTCCTGTATTTGTTATTAAAAAGAAATCTGGTAAATGGAGAATGGTAACAGACCTTAGAGCAATTAACAGAGTAATTCAGCCAATGTGCTCTCTACAGTCTAGAATTCCTTTGCCTACTCTGTTACCTAAAGGATGGCCTCTCATAGTTATTGATTTAAAAAACTGTTTCTTTTCAATACCCTTACAAGAAAAAGACAGAGAAAGATTTGCCTTCACGGTGCCTACTTATAATAATTCTTAACCGGTTAAGAGATATCAATGGAGGGTCCTCCCACAGGGAATGTTGAATAGCCCAACCCTGTGCCAATATTTTATACAACAGCCATTAGAAGTGATAAGTAAAAAATTTCCTAAATCTATAAATTATCATATGGATGATATTTTACTAGCTGACTCAAATGCAGATACTTTAGAAAGAATGTTTGAAGAAGTAAAGAAAATTTTGCCTTGCTGGGGATTACGAATTTTTCCCGAAAAGATACAAAGAGGAGATTCTATTAATTATTTAGGATATAAAATAGAACTACAAAATATTAGACCCCAAAAGGTGAAAATTATGAGAGATCAATTACAGACTCTTAATGACTTTCAAAGGTTATTTGGAGACATTTCTCATCTACAAACTATTGTTGGGGTAAAAAATGATGAACTGAATAATTTTTTCAAAACCTTAGAAGGTGACAAGGACTTAAATAGTCCAAAATAATTATCACCTGAAGCTGAGAAAGAATTGGCCTTGGTAGAAAAGAAAGTGCATGAAAGACACATGGATTGTATCGATCCAAAGTTGGATTACATTTTGGTTATTTTACCCTCTAGGCATTCTCCTACAGGAATTTTAATGCAGAGGGAAGATATTATATTGGAATGCACATTTTTACCAAAGAAACCAAATAAAAAATTAAAAACTTATATGGAATGTAACGGCAACACCCGCGTTACCGATACACATTCACCATGTCTGATGTCTGAGCAAGGGGCTGCGGATTAAAAAATAAGGGACAAGAGACAGCGAGTCATTCACCGCAGCTGAATGCCAAATGCCAGCCGAATGCTGTTTATTGAAAGAGGGAGGTAACCTTAAATACAGGCTTACAGCATAATGGCGCATTCCTGGAGGGCAGAAGTTCGCCACATTTTGCATCTAAGCTGTTTACACCAAATGCAGGATACAGGAACAAAGAACCTCCGGTAGAATGTTAGGTGAGAAGGAAACCGGCAGGGAATCTGAATAGGGAGGACATCTGGTCAAGGTTGGCAAGCAAGGCGGCAGCCACTCACAGTGGGGGACCAGGGCCCACAGGTCCCCCCTTTTTACTAAAAAATGAGTTTCTGACTTAGGTTGCGGGGGTTGTCAGCAGGTCACCTTACCCATCATAGAGACACCTGCCCAGGCCACACAAGTGCTCTGTCTTAGATTGATGACCACCCCCCAAGCATTACCCGTCTCTGAATACTCATTATCATACAGACTCAACCACGTGAGCTGTAGAGTAACTGCTGCCAAAGATCTCAAAGTGGCGCTGGGCTTGCAATCTGTGCAACACAGAAAAGACCAACAGAAGTCCTAACCCACCCATAGCCAGGAGGCTAAAGGCGATTGAGCCATTCCCTTCTTAAACGAGCTTTACTGTAAATTGGAGTCCTTGTAAGGTGGTATCCCATAAGCAAATGGAACTTGAGTTTTAATAATTTTTACAACTTTCAAAGCCAATTTAAATGTATAAATGTAGAATTAAATTTATCATGCCCAATAAAATGAAAGATTAACTAACTGTGGTAGCTACATTTGCTGCCAGGGTCTCCATTGTGCTAGCTGTAGAACCCAATTATGAAACAGCCATCCCAGAAGCAATAGCAGCAGTGGCCACCACTGCTATAACAGCAACAATGGCAACAGCGATGTCAGAGTCTCTTCTGGAGCGTGTGAGCATCATCTGTGTCTAACTGTCACAGTCCACTGGCATGGATGCAGCTTCAGGAACAAGAACCACCAAGGCCCATTTTTCTTGATCCCAGCACTACTTAGGCTGGAAGGTCTGCAAAAGAACAACTAAGAACCATAAAGAAAATAAAAACAAAAACAGCAAACAAGGAGCAGAACTAATGGTCTCATTAATGGCTACATTCAGGCTCACAAATTTTAAGGTATCTACAAAAATGCTAGATGAATTTCAGGAGGCCAATAAATGTTGCACAGAGCCATTCCTGAAAAGTAGGTACTATACCAGCTTGAAGAGGGTTGCAAAATGTGAAAAGGCTTAGCTGGCATGCTACTGTTAACAAATGAAGGTCATTGACTTTCAGAGTTAACCTTAATGTCCAAGGTGTGACACATTCTCAACATTTTTGAAAAAAGTTACCATACATTACCTTCTGAAGAATCCAAGCACATGGCTACAGTTCCTAGGCTTACAATAATGTTTGCCAAGGCTGGCCGTATTGGGCTCTCAATCCCCATTGGCATCAGAAGGGGAGAGTTTTTTTACGAAGGCCCAATAGGTCTCTGCCATGTCGGGATTCAGCAGCAGTCACAGGGCGCACACAGCGTTCAGGAACCCAAAGAGGAACTTCATTGTCCTGCGGAAAGACACAAACAGATCCCCGAGCCCACACCAACACCAGATTGGGTTCCCTCCAAGTGCCAGTAGAAAGATCCTTCCATCGCACCAGAGGATGATTTGCAACAGGAGCCCTCCAGTGCTTATCTGCATCGGATACTCCAGCAGAATCCACCGATAAAAAATTTAAAATATATAAAACAAGGGAAAGAATAGAATGTGGAGAAGAGAGATGAGTCCCTAGCTCCCCCTTTTTACTTTAGAAATATATGTTTTTAAGGTACGATGGCAGCGTTCTACTATAGCCTGTCCTTGAGGGTTATAAGGAATACCAGTCTTATTAACGATAGAAAAATCTTGGCAGAATTTTGAAAATCCCATACTGCTGTAGCCGGGACCATTATCAGTTTTTATACATTTTGGCACTCCCATATAGGCAAAAGCATGAAGACAATGATTTTTTACATCCTTAACTTTTTTTCCTGAATGGGCAGAAGCAAAATTAGAGAAGAATATGTATCAATAGACATATGGACATATTGTAATTTTCCAAAGGAAGGCACGTGTGTGACGTTCATCTGCCACACATGATTAGGTAAAAGTCCTTGGGGATTAACTCCCAAATGAGGAACAGGTAAAAATTCAACACAAATAGGACATGATTTAACTATCTGGATGGCTTGTTCCTGGGTTATGCCGTATGATGACAAAGAGATCCAGCATTAAGATGATAACATTGATGCAACTGAGTAGCCTTATCAAAGGCAGAACAAACAGCCATAGAGTAATGGCATCAGCCCTCTGATTACCTTCACTTAGAGGTCCAGGCAATTGAGTATGAGCTCTAATATGGCCCACATAAAGGTTATGTGAGCGGGACCATATAAGTCCTTGCACTTGCAATAAATATTCATGAATGGGAGAAATGGATGGTATGTAGGCTGCTGTCTCCAAAGGCATAATGGCATGTGCCACATATTGACTATCAGTATAAATATTTACACTCTCATCAGAAAACATCTGTAAAGCAAGCAACAGCACCTGTACCTCTGCCATTTGGGCAGAAGTGCCCTGGACTTTCATTCTCTTTACTATGTTACCAAAAACCACGTGAAGTGCCATCAGTAAATACCACACGGGCCTGAGGAATAGGAGTCATCTGTACTATCTTGGGAAATATAATAGGATGCAATTTAAAAAAAATTGACACACATCATTGGAGGGGTAGTGAGTATCAAACCAACCCTGCATGGAGCATGTCAATATGGTCCAATCATTATCATTAGCTTGCAACCATGCTATTTGAGACTGGGTGTATGGGGTCACCACAATATCTGGCTCCTTACCAAAAGTTTGAACACTGATCTTGATTCCCTTAAATATAATCTGAGCAACAGCCTGTGGATAAGGAGTGATGGTTTTTGCTGGAGAAACTAGGGAATGTACCCATAGAATAGGACCTGTTTGCCAAAACACTCCAGTAGGTGAATGAGTAAAACAAAATATCAAATACAATAAGGGAGAAGAAAGATCTATATACTGCATGTGAGCCTGTTCCAGGGCCTCTTGTGACACAGTTTTTGTCTGCCACAGGGAGTGGGTCTCCTAGAAACATTTTCCCTAAGCCTCTGCTGTGTAGCAAGCACTGCTCCCATACTATCTAACACATCTCGTCCCCACTAGTTCACTGGAATGTTAGGTAGCACAAAGGGTTGAAAAGTTTCTGCATGACCTTCCTCATCCTTCCAATTTAAAAGTAGCCTGCTCTGCAATGGCGTCTGAGCTGTGCCGATACCTTGTAGGTTAGAGGTGGTATTTTTAAGGGGCCAATTGGGATCTCAGGATTCTTGTGAAATTATAGATATATCCAGCACCAGAATCCAATAATCTTCCAATCTCAATCCCATATAATTTTGTTTTTAATTTAGGCTGTTTATCATTGATAACTGTTTGTCAAAACACCTCTTTTTTTAAATTTTGTACCTCTAAAGCCTCCAGTTTTACATATAGGTGCCATATTGCATTTAAAATATGAAAGCAATAATAACTGAGCAATTCTTTCACCAGCTTCTATTTCTATGGTCCTTTTTACATATGCCAATTATAAAAGCATTAAATACAATCTCTATAGCATTTGAAAAGGTAACTTTAGTAATACTCTTCTAGAGTATTTTTATAAAATCCTAAAAAGAGGATCCTTTTTTATAAATTTCAAGTAACACATTAATGCAAGTAGCCAATTATTAACAATGTGGATCAAACCATTTTCCTGTATTTTATTTACTGGAAAAATAATTTTGTAACCTCTTTATCAGTAAGAGATTATTTTTTATGGGTTTATCTTAGCAACATTATTTAATAAGCTAACAACCCAATCCATTTCAGGTGTTATATTATTTCTATAGAATTAAACCAAGAATTTCTAGAAAGCAACTTAAATAGCAGAGCCAAATTTTCAGTAATGATCAATAGACAAGACCACACCTAATATATAGTTCAAAATTATGAATCCTGTTCCTTTAGTTTATCTACCATGAGAATCAAACATTCATCCAAACATTTATTTATTTATTTATTTATTTATTTATTTATTTATTTATTTATTTTTTGTTTTTCGAGACAGGGTTTCTCTGTGTAGCTTTGCGCCTTTCCTGGAACTCACTTGGTAGCCCAGGCTGGCCTTGAACTCACAGAGATCCTCCTGGCTCTGCCTCCCAAGTGCTGGGATTAAAGGCATGCGCCACCACCACCAGGCCTAAAATTTTCTTTTCTTTTCTTTTTTTTTTTTTTTTTTGGTTTTTCGCATCCAAACACTTATTAAGACAATCAAAAAAACAAAACATCCTTTATTCACACAGCATTGACTTAGCATTCTATGTCCTGACCGAAACCATTTTTCACCAGAAGTTAGGCCCGTTTAAACTTTAGGCACTAGTCCCTCTCCCGGACTCTGCTCGCTTGGTTCATTCCATTGGCCTTGAGGCTCCGCCTCCTGCCTGTACGTACCTGTCCACCCGCTGCTCCGGGCTATCTCCTGCACTGCTGCCACAGCACTGCCTTTGACCACAGCCATACTGGACATGCGCCACACACACACACACACACACACACACACACACACACACACGTGCATTCCTGTTTAAACTTTTAGCGCTAGTCCCTTCCTGGGCCTCTGCTCACTTGGCCAGAGCTGAGGCTGCGGCTTAGCTTTGGCTCCGCCTAGTGCTCAGGCTCTAGTGGCCATGCCTGGGCTCTAGTGCTGGTGCTAACCTGGGCCATGCTCCATCGCAGCCCCACCTCCCACCTGCACTTACCTGTCCGCCCGCCTCTCTGGGCTATCTCATGTACACCTTTGTCAACCGCTGCCAGCGCTGGGCACGTGCCCTGCGCACACACAAACTCACGTTTAAACTTTGTACTTCCATGAAGGGACTACCTAATGAGTTATTCCCGCCATAGGGAAAAACAGAAAAACATTTCCCATGAAGGGATCCTAAATATTGAATTATTCCCACTCAGAGGGAAAAATAAAAAACATTTGAACCAAAATAAGCAGACAGCAAAACTTCTAACCTCTGGGCTCGCTTGCTGTTCAGCCAGCAGCAATGAGGCCTACCTGCCGATTCTTTGTAATTCAGATGCTGCACTGCAGAAAGAGCTCAGAGTTTCAGCTATCCTGAAAATTCTACAATTGGAGTCTTTTCTTCCTCCATTACCACTGGGAAGAAGCTTCTCTCTTTTGTTCATCCTTCCTCTACAGAGCCCCAATCTTTAGGCCTAGTTTCAAAATTTTTCCCCTTTTTACCGGGAAAATTCCTTTTTTCTTAAGATTTTTTCTCCCTTTTCTAACGGGAAGTTTCCTTTCCTTCCCTCTTCTCTTTTGGGAAGATTTCCTTTTTTATTTAAAATCTTTAGCTGTCTTGCCCTTTTTAACTTCAGTGCCTTCCTGCTTCAACAGTCCAATCAACTGACTGTGAGCTAGCTGCACCCATTTCAATTCACCCTTATCTTTTCTTTTTTTTTTTTTTTCTTTAAATTGCTGGCCAGCCTTAACTTTTGGGTGTCCGTCAGCTCGTTCCTTCTTTCTTGGATCTCGGTAGTGTCTTGGTAGAATCTCGGTAGGACCTCCATTTGTAACGGCAACGCCCGCATTACCGATACCCATTCACCATGTCCAAGCGAGGGGCTGCGGATTAAAAAATAAGGGACAAGAGACAGCGAGTCATTCACCACAGCTGAATGTCAAATGCCGTTTATTGAAAGAGGGAGGAAACCTTAAATACAGGCTTACAGCACAATGGAGGATCCCCAGAGGGCAGAAGTTTGCCACATTTTTGTATCTAAGCTGTTTACACCAAATGCAGGATACAGGAACAAAGAACCTCCAGTTGAACATTAGGTGAGAAGGAAACCGGCAGGGAATCTGAATAGGGAGGACATCTGGTTAAGGTCGGCAAGCAAGGTGGCAGCCACTCACAGTGGGGGGCCAGGGCCCACAGTGGAAAAAATCTCTGACTTGATTTGGAAAGGAAAATTGAGACTTTGTCAATTAGCAGGAAGAGACCCAGCAGAAATTGTTGTACCTTTAACTAAGGAGGACATTGAAAAATTATGGACAGAAAGTGAACCCTGGCAAAGAGCTTGCGGTAATTTTTTGGGAGAGATTAACAGCAAATATCCCAAAGGCAATACAATTGATCTTATAAGGAGAGCTGATTGGATTTTGCCTTGAATTGTACAGAAAACACCCATATCTGGAGTTTGTATATTTTATACAGATGCAAATAAACAAGGAAAGGCAGGTTACAAATCAGAAAATTTAAGTATAAACGGTTCAAAGTCCTTACAATTCAGCTCAAACATCGAATTGTATGCTATTCTATTGGTATTAATGGATTTTTCAGAACCTCTCAACATAGTTACTGACTCTCAGTATGCTGAAAGAGTGGTATTACATATTGAGACTGCAGAATTTATCCCTGATGCTTCAGAATTAACTTCACTATTTATTCAATTACAAGATACAATCAGGAAAAGGAGGCATCCTTTATATATAACTCACATCCAATCCCATACTGGTCTGCCAGACCCTCTAGCACAAGGCAATGATGAGATTGATAATTACTGATAGGAAATGTGCTGGAGGCCTCACAATTTCATAAAAAACATCATGTCAATAGTAAAGGTTTAAAAAAGGATTTTTCCATAACCTGGCAACAAGCCAAGGAAATTGTAAGGAAATGTCCTACTTGTTCCTCTACAATCAGATGCTATTACCAACAGGATATAACCAAAATGGTACTCAGAGGAATGAAATCTGGCAGATGGACGTGTTTCACTTTGCAGAATTTGGAAAACTGAAATATGTACACCATACCATTGATAGTTATTCAGGATTTCAATGGGCAACTGCTTTGAGTTCTGAAAAGGCTAATTCTGTAATCACTCATTTGCTAGAAGTTATGGCCATCATGGGTATACCTGCACAAATCAAAACTGACAATGCTCCAGCATATGTCTCTGTTAAAATGAAACCGTTTTTTTTGCTTATTACAATATAAAGCATATTACAGACATACCACATAATCCTACAGGTCAAGCAGTTATAGAAAGATCAAACAGAACTCTAAAGGATATGCTAAATAAACAGAAAGGGATAACAAAAAACCCCAGAAATAGACTGCATAATGCTCTATTAACTTTGAATTTTTTCAATGCTAATGAGAAAGGAACAACAGCTGCAGAGAGACATTGGATAATAGAAAAAACTACAGAATTAAATCAGCCTATATACTTTAAGGATGTGCTGACCTCAGAATGGAAACCAGAATATGTGTTACATTGGGGACAAGGTTTTACTTTTGTTTCTACAGGAGAAGATAAGCTGTGGATACCATCAAAATTGATAAAGATTCAATTTGAACAAGAGAGACCCCTTAATTAGAAGAGGTGATAGTTCATCAACCAGCATGACCATCCAATTTAAACTAACCTATACCATTAACACATGCCTTTTCATTTAATCAGATATAACTTGCCAAATGGGAACATCCCCAAAATGAGTCTTGGGGAAAGGTTTTTTTTTTTTTTTGTCTTTTAGGAGAACAAAGGCTAATGAATCTGAAGAACACTGGACAAATGAGACATCTGAAGAAAAAGGACAAATCATCTAGAAAAAATGTCCCAAGAAAAAGTAAAATGGCCTATTGGTATATCATCTATAAAATTTCATAAGTCTTCCTAAATGTTAGTTTCTGCTCTTCTCTAAAGAAATTTAACACTATTGGTCTTCTTGTAGTCCCAGTTCAATCAAAATTTAAAGTTGGTTTTGGAGTTGGAGAATGGCTCTCTCCTTCTTTAAAATCAAGCATGTTGTTAAAAGGAAAATGCAAACTCCCTGTATCATGCCAGAAGAAAGAGCCATCTTCTGATATGGGACAGGAGAAAAACCAAATTAATTAAGGGACTATTCTATTACTACTAATCTCAATTCTTCAATTCTTTAATTCTATTCTGATTCTTTAAACTGTTCTTAAAGTATGAATTTTATATCAAAATTTACAAGATTAATATATATACATTTTAAACTTTGTTAAGATATTAATAGTCATATAGAATACTAATTCATTCTAGAAAAAAGGCTTCAATTAGCTGCCTATACACGTCTTTGTGTTCAAGTCTCTATCAGATTTTCTGCAGGAAATCATGGCCAGACCTAACATCAAATTTGAAGTCTCCAGGAAGAAGATGGGGCCCCACAACAACAACAATTCCATGTGGACAATAATAATACCACTAAGCTGACAAATATCATCTACAGATCAGCTTTGGACTACAAACTGCTCAGAGCAATTTTGAGATGGCTAGCTGAGATGATCCAGTTTCAAAGACTACTTGAATAAGGACTTGAATGAACCCCAGAACTTTGGCATTATGCACAGACTGGACAACAAAGGATATAGCTACCTTTCCTAGAATTTGACCATTAATCAAAAATTTTTCTTTTCAGAATAAAGATACCTTCGCCCATATCTAGCAGGAAGCAATTTTAAGAATACGACACCCACATTCACAAAGAGGTAGTGTGGGGCGGGTGGTTTTTTGGTCTTTTAATGTGTTCTGGGTCTGGGATAATTTTCATTGTTTAGGAGGGTTGGTTACAAGTTGTTGTTAAGGGTTAGGAAAAGGGCTATGCAAAGGAGATTAGATTTAAGGTTCTTGTTTAAAAAAAGATACATAGAAATGATAGAATAGAGGGTAGATTATTGAATCTACTTGGAAAAATAAAGAGAAGGTATAAATATGAAATAGATAAAAAGATAGATATTGAATCTACTTTTAAAAGACAATTACTAGTTTAAAATACTTTACATTGGATTGGATTTTTGTATATTACATACAAATTATATATATTGTGATTGATATTGTTAGAAAATGCAATATGTATATTTCTAATCTTGTTCAAGATATTGTACTTATACCATTCATTTAAAAATGTAATGCAATTTGCTGATCCTTGAATGTTATTATTATCAACTATTAGGATAAAAAGAAATGAAAGTTAGTAGTTATACATTACAATCGAACTTGTAGTCCTATTAGGTATGTTTTCAAGATCAAACAGATATATTTTAGATAGACAGGTCATCTTTAAACCCTTCAGAGATCTACAGAATATGTCATTTAAAATGTTTTTATAACTTAGAATTTTTTTTCTTTTTTAAGGACTATGAGACATGTCGGCTCCTGGCAGTACCAATCTACTTCAAAGAAAATATGGGCATTGAAGAAACTCCTTTTGGAGTTAACTTTCATTGTGGCAAAAGTTAGACATTGGACAACAAAGTATCCTCGAATCAACTGCTGACAAACAGGACAAAATGGACAGACAGGACACGAAACAAAGGACTACCAATTCTTGCCAAGACAAGTGTGGTTGTGGCTTTAACAAAAGGTATCCTCTGAGGCCAGGATAATATGGCACCATCCCTGAAGTGGCCTTTGCAATCTGGAAAAGGTACAGTTCCTCTTTCTTTGAAGGCAGCTGAAGAGGCAGTGGACCAATGACTTCTGATGTGCAGTGGAACAGCAGCTGAAACAGTTATTCTTGAAAGCTGACAGAGTCTAACCTCTCAGTGGTAGGGCAGCATTTAAAAGAGGGATGCAGAGAAGAACGGGATGCCGAGATGAAGCCACACACACAAGCCAAGAAGAATGGACAGTTGAATTAAAAAAAATCAACAATTTCCAGAATTTAAAATCCTGAATCATGACATGACACTAGTGGAATTCAGGTGTTTCTGGTACATGGACTGCTCTCACCCAATGTGAGGTTGAACTGTTGACCTTGTGTACATCGTACTTCACAAATGAGTCTGTCAGATACGCTAAGCCTGTAGGCTGAAGATGATGCCCCAGCGCTGCGGAGAAACCTCGGGTGACTGTCCAGGCAGCTGGCTGTTTCTGTCAACTCACATTTTTTTTTTGAAGCCACTTGCGTGCACTTCCTGTTTTTATTTTTTTAGGTAATGTTATTTCCTTCTTGGTCTCTGAGGGAGTTGAAGATTAGATAGTTATAGTGAGTTAAAGATTAGATAATTATAGTTTTCCTTGTTAGGAATTTTAGAAAAGTAATTCACTAAAGAGGTGTTAAGTGTATAATTTTGAAAGACATTATAAGATAGTTCTGTTAGTAGTATAAGCTATGATAGAAAGTAAATCAGGTACATTTTGGACTTACCAAAATAGGATAGATAATGGAATTATTTTCTCTGAATTTGTCAAATGCAAATGGACTAGACATTGTTTAGGTAGTTATTGCTTGTATATATTGTATATAGTCATTGTACTTTTTGTATATAGTTTTTCTTATATTAGTTATAATTTTTTTCCTTTTTTCCTTTTATTAGAATAGAAAGGGGAAATATGGTGATATTTTATTTGTGCTGAAATGTGATTTTATTTGTATGTTAATAAATAAAAGTGCCTTGGGGTCAGAGCTAATAACAAGTCATTTAGCAGAAGTCTGGCAGTGGTAGTACATGCCCTTAATCCCGATCACATGACAGGCAGATCTCTGTGTGTTCAAGGACACCACCAGCATGGAGACACACGCCTTTAATCTCAATACCAACCATACAGACCTGGAGGTCTGTATAGACAGGCAGTGATGAGGAGGTCATGTGG